TAAAATGTGTTTGTTTACATTCCGTTCTCTGAATCTACTCTGCAGTAAACGTTGCTGAGAACTGACAGGACAGGCTCATCCTCCTGAACACCAATCGTGCATGTGTTTTTATTTCTTTTCAGTGTTAGCACCTCCCGTTTTCAAGGGAAAAAGTTTGTCCTGGGAAAGATTGTGTTAGTTTATTCAAGAGTAACTAGTTAAAGAGTCTAAGTATAAACCCTAGAATGATGATTACAAAAGTCAGAGCTAACAGGTGTAATGGCGTTTGTTGTACCAATTCCAAGTCAGAGCCTGAAATTTTCATTAAAAAAATAATTAAGTCCATTTTCTTTTTTGTGACATTATTTAGCCAATACCTGCATCCAAGAATTTTACTAACTGCCCCAGAAGGCAGCATTTGTTATACTGCTTGTATAAAGTTGAAAACTCTTAATTTATTACTCAGTTATTGTAATGAAAGTTTCAACATAATTATTTTAGCTTCTGAACGCATTCCTGGGCATCGAGAATGTGTGACTATAGCACGTGGGGAGACGTGAGCACTACCCTTGCTTGCATGACTGCCAAAAAAGAGGGACAAGGTTCATGTCTTGAGCAATTGGAAGCTATTTAAAATTAGCAACATCAAAAGGTGTTTTAAACTAGCTTATTTTGGTAAAAAGGGTGTAAGGATCTCCTATCTGCTGTTTAAAAATCAAAGTTGAAAATGAATAAAAATGCCATTTAATTGAGGATTTTAATAACTTTTTTGCATGTGTTCGTGGGTCAAATGTTTGGCTTCCAAAATCTGAGAGGAAAAATAGCCTAATTGCTACATTTTCTGCTCTGCATTGACTGATATTTAATAAACAACAATTTTTAAAATATGGACGTTCTCTCATCCACAAAAGAAACAGCCTAAAGCTACTAGTGCTTGGGAGAATATGTGAGCCAAAGCAAATAATTCAGAAAGAAGAAACAGAAGGAACTTTTAAGGTAGTTTTTAAGCATATATCTAAGAGCTTATATCTTGAAATATTTATTCAAGTGGAATGATCTACCTTTTGAATAGGAATTTTTAAAAATTAAGTAATATGTATAGATACTCCCCCGCAGGATGGGGAAAAAAAAAAAAAAAAAAAAAAAGGAGGAGGGCCAAGGGCACTGGTATTTTTTCTTGTCCTGCCTTCACAGCCATAAAGTGGCAGGAAAAATGTTCCAGAAATTCTGACTGATTTTCTAGTGAGTTACTACTAGGTATGAGATTGAGATTAGAGGCAGGAGCTCAGGCAAAGCAAGAGCTGTTCATTATACATTTGTGTTGAAACCAAATAAGTGTGCTGCATGATCTAAAGAGACCTTGGAGAAGCTCCCTGCTCACCTTAGAAATCAGGAGGCCTACTCCCAGCATTGTATAAGAGAAGAGGAAGTATGAAGGCTTCCAGATATGCAGCTTCTCAGCTGGGTCGTTTTAAGCAACTCACTTAACTGAATAGGTATTATTCTCATTTTTATAGATAAGGAAATACATCCCTACTCTGCTATCTCAAGGAGCGGTCCCTGGGACAGCAACATGTTATTACTTGAAATACTTTTGAACTATAAATATCTTTGTAAGAACGACATGCTAGAAACATGTTTGACACTTGGATAAAGAACCAGTATCCTAACCATATCTTTTAGGATTTTGGTAGGAATCGGGTGATTGAGGAGAGTGTAACAAAAGAACTATTGACCAAGATATGGCTAAGTGAAGAGAGACCATCAAGGGATAGGGAAGCACCCCAAAGCTAGTGAGAGAAGTACCAACATCATCCCTAGGCCTGCAGGATCAAGGGAAAGGGGCAGCTATTGGATGTCAGTTATGCTCTAGCAACATTCCAGGATAATAACCATAGATTGTCCAAACATGCGATTGAGGTACTTGGTGTGAGGATGGGTCATCCTGTTTCATCCTCATGGTCCCCTAGGGTGATGTATATTGGTGGAGTCGAACACAAAGCCAAAAAGTAAGCAAGTTGATTGAGACAATCCATAAAAGTAGCTCTCTCATGCCAAGAGCAGTTGAAGAATGCTGGGAAGTGAATCTGGAGGAGTGAATGGAGAATGTTCAGCACTCCATCCACCACCCGAAAGGCATTAAAATACATTCTGGTTGGGAAGGAAAAAGGGGAAGGGAAACATCAGAGTTGGGTAACTACTGTGTGCCAAGAACTTTTCATGAATGATCTTACATAATTGTAGAATACCCATTACAAGAGGTTGATTGTTGTGTCCATTTGACAGGATCCTGATGGGTTAAATAACTTGTTCATGGTCATAAAGCTAGTAAATGTGAGAATAATATAAGAAACCAAAGTTGCCTGACTTCAATATGAGAGAGCATTCATAAGGAGACTCAAATTTGTCAATAGACAAGTAGTACGAAGCTGTATACCTCTATAGTGAAGTGGCATAAACATTTCTGTAATCAGTGGAGACCCAGAAAGCTCTTCTTGTACCATCTAAGCAAAGATCTCTATCATGATGCTTCACTCACATTCTGCTATCACTCACAGACAGAAACCCAAGTATGTTATTTTCAATTGAGCCTCAAAACTATTTTAATTCCAAGTGAGAAACATCAGTATTTTTTTAATTTACACTCTAACAATACATTATAAAAATCGTGAGAATAATGAGTACCAATCTTCTCCAACTCCAAGAACATCAAAAAATATTTTCTACTGAACTAACCTTAGAGGACTCATGTATAGACCTCAGCCCATGAACTTCTTTGGAAACAGTTGCTATCTTCTTCAAGGAATTATATCAGTTTTCTCTGATTATTAGAAGCGCCATGTCAAATGCCAAAGTCCAATGGATAGCTTTGATTCACAATGAGCTTAGAATGTGGTGGTATCTAAATTTTATAAGTACTCATGTAACTATCATGGGAATAAAACAATTTTCTATTTTTTTCTGTTGGAATTAGGCTCATAATGAAAAAATGCTGAATTCTGAAAATATGAATATAGATAGCAGAGTAGCTATATTGGTATCCCATCATGCTAATGATGAGGTTTTGTTATTGCCATTGCTCTTTTTTGCTCATATTTTTATTTTCTCCTCAATATTGCCTCACAGTGATACAAGTCTGAATGATTGCTATTTTCTATTTCTCTTTATTTATGTTTTTGTTTATAACCTTACAAGTATGATCTATTGAGTTATACTATGATATGATCAAATCCTGAAACAAACCATTGTATTGAAAGAAATTATTGTATTAAACATTGTTTTCAAATACACATGGTTATCCAGTTGAGTGCTCTCTGAATGGGAAGGTTTGATATAAAAGTTACGTCAAGTTCTAATAAAGTGCGTAAGAATGCACAGCTCCTCCTGGAGCCTGCTCGCTGCCTGGGTGGATTAGATTTCCTTGGGCACTCTTGCGTCTCGCCTGCTACTCAAATGATTCAGGGACTTGAAGTCTTTGCAGACCTTTTACAGGAAGATGATTTAATTAAAGCATATGAGTCCAAAAAAGAAAGAAAGAAAGAAAAACAAGATTACATCATAAAGGTCCCATAGAGCGGCTCATTCTCGATTTGAATCAAACATCTATAATATCCCTGGGTTAGAAGTAAGAGGAGAATTATCTTTAATTTGAACAGTTTTCTTTCATTTGGGCCAGAGATGTGTAACACACATTCATTCAATAGGAGAATATTAGGCTAGTCACAGTAGTTTTTATTGTAGGATTTTGGCAATATGGGGGGGCATCTTATGACAGAGTTAAGGAAAAATGCAGGACACAGAAAATATAGTATTATCGATTGTTCTTGCAAATGGAAAAAATTGTAAATAACTGCAATATCCATTAATATGGGAATACCCAAGTTAGTCATAGTACGTTCATAAATGAACAATTATGCACCTGTAAGATACAATGAGCTGGATCTCTATGTGCTAACAAGAAAATATCTCAAAGATATATATCCTTTGCATGAATAAAAAAAGTTCTCCAACATACCTATACCATGATTAAATCTGTGGTTAAATGTTTACATATGCATATGCACATCTGTATGCATATACACATAATGGCCTTGGAATTATACACATAGGTTAGTAATATTTATCTATGAAAAGGAATGTA